TTTTTTTTTTTGTCCAGGTGTCTAGAGGGGGAATAAAGATCAGGGACAAAACAGGGTAATGCAAAATAATTGATTTTATTTAAAATAAAAAGCAAACACAATCAATCATCCAAATAAAACAATTAAGAGCATTCCAGCTCTGCTGGATGGAGGGATAAGAGCAGCTAATGCAGGGCTGGGGTGGCAGTGACTGGCCAATGGAGCAGTGGACTCCATTTCCCTCCCCACCCTCGAGGAAAACAGGGAGCTCTCACCTGGAGTCTAACCTCTTTCCTCACAATGGTGGAGGATACAGGGAGGAAAAAGGACCTACATGGAGCATGACAGATGCTGATGTCTCTAGTAAGCAGCTGAGGAGACTTGAAGTAATTCAGAACACAAATTGGCATTAGTCTACTGAAGGGCAAGAGGAGAGGAAGGGAAGCCAGCACTTCCTTCCAGAGAGCCACTAGCTCCCATTGTGCCTTGTGTACAGAACAGACACCAAGAAACATGCACCTGTTAACAAACAGGATCTGCAGAGAGGGGCTTGATAAGATGGTTACCCACCGGTCTTTCCAGCTTGCAGCAGGGGTAGAGGAGACTTGGAATATGATCTGTTCTGACCGTCAGACTGGGGTAGGAAAGCACTGCCTGATCTGAGAAATTTCTTCTCTCTGGTCACAGTACGTAAAACAGTAAAACCAGGATTATAATAATCCAGCAGTTTCAAGTGACCTCCTATATGGAACAGGAGTTAGTGCCCATTTGGAAAGCAGTTTCTAGCTCAAAATAAGCTGGGATCCTTCAACAGTCCTGTCATTTTCAACAACTTTTGCATAAGAATCTTTGGGTCTTACAAACATTAGCTACACGTAGCCTCACAACACCCCTGTGAGGTAGGTCTTCTCTCCTTTTTATAGGTAGAACCCAGAGGTTGACAGCTAGGCCAGGGTAACACATCAATGGAAGAGCATAATGTAGATCCCAGGAGTCCTGACTCCCAGACACTACTACAGGCTGCCTGAGCAGAGATGCTGAGCTTCAGATGAGAAAATGCACGGATCGTGGAAGCTGGTTTATAGTTGCTGACTTCACCTGTCCTGTAGCTAGCGTCAAATGTCACAACATGGGCCAGTCAATGGGAGGCATGTTGATCCCTTTTATTTTCACTTCATTCAACAGTCTGAGGACAAAGGGGTAAGCACTCTGCCCTCTGGATCTTCAGATTATGCTACTGTTAGAACAGGTAGAGCTTCCTTGGCACTGGGAGGCAGGTTGGCTTCTCCACCTCTTAGCATTATCATAATGGCAGCGTTGTACCCATGTTGTCAAAGGGAACAGCTAGCTGCAGCTTCTGCCAACTCTTCATGCACTAACCTGGCATGGCAGACAGACAGAGCTGCCCAAGGCACAGCACAGAGACCTTGCTAACCCAGGTTGCCCTCACCATTAGCACTGAGCCTGCCCACACTGAATGCCCATATTGTTTCCCAAGAGGCAGCAGCTGAAGTTTGCTCCATTTGATGAAGATTAGATGCACCAGGTAGACTCCAGGGGTCAATCTGCTGGGCACAATACTGGCATCTGGGCTAGGGGTGCTGGAAGTCTTGACACCTTATAGAATCAGCTGGCCTCAGGGAAGGGACCTCCTTCACATGACTGCTCAACAGAGCGCTATTTGTTGTCACCAGCACAACCCTTGGATTTTGCTCAGCAATGTGCCAATGAGCCACCACTCTGTGCTCCTCTGACAAGTGACAGGAACACAGGGGGTTTGGAAACAAGGGTCTGTACTAATGACAAAGACAAGATGGCTTCACTCTTACAACATGTTGCAACCTGGTCTCCAAGGAGGGAAGGGGAAATCACAGAGTAATGGACATTAAAAATCAACATGCAGGGTTCCACTTAACCCAACCCAGACAGAAATCACAGTTAAGGATGACAATCTGCCTCTAGCTGGTAGCTGGACATTGCTGCATGTACTCTAACAGGCCATTTCCTCTACAAGCTCTCCCTCCCAAACAGCAGGATGGAAACAAAGCTGGTTTGTCATCTGCTAGGGCTCAGGAAAGAGCAAACACAAACAGCCAAGGCTTGGGTGTATTGTTCTTGATAGATGAGTATTTCTCCCTGGCACAGCAAATCTCCACCCTGGCAAGGATCAGGCTACGGGAAAGCTTTTAGTGCACAGGCCCTTGGTAAACAGCAATCCCAACAGATCCCCTGGGGAGGAGAGCTGCCCACAACATAATACAATGGCAATTGGGCAAACCCAAGCATCCCATTGTACTTGCAGAAGTTTAAGACAAAATAGTCCTTCCCCTCACCTGTTGCTTCTACAGATGGCAACACTCATTATAGGCAGCTTCCAACTTTAAAGAGCTGTTTAGATAGGGGAACAGCACCGGTTTTATTCAGCCCTCAGTTCTGTAACTGCTTGTTACTTAAAGCCCAACATTCAGTCACCATCAAAAAGTCAGCATGTGTCAGTGACAAACACCACCATCAATATCCCCCTGGACCTAAGGGGGTTTGGTAACTGTTAACAGATCATGGCCTTTCCATGGCTTTTACCTACAACAAACCACTTGACTCACTCACGCCCCAGCGTCATGACAAGGTGCTAGTGCATCTTGTTATATTTGCTGTGGGAGGTACTAAGCATAAGTGAATTGCTGCTGGTTAAAGATGTCACATCTTAGAGACCTTTCAAGCTGGTTTAGGTGCTGTGTACACAGAGAAAGGTGCTTCTCAGGGGCAGTCGTTGCCACAGTCGGAGTCCTCCCCTATACTTAGAGTCTGTAGAGCTGTCCCCCTTTCCAGTGCTCTGGTACAAGATCCGCTGGATATCTACGTAGGACAGAGGTGCTGCATCCCTCTCAAGTGTATGCAGGACAACATGTAAACATATGACAGTGTCAGAGCAAGGCAGGTGCCTGGGTTCACCTGCTGGTTTTAAAAAGAAACAGTTCTTTAAAAGCTCATCTCTTCCACTTCCTTGCGGACCCTGTGAGCCGTCAGACACATGGCACATCCTTACCAAAAGCTGGGTTTATCGTCTGATCATTTAGTGCATTGATCTGGGGGCACAGAAGCAGACTAAGCATTGCACAGTAGAGATGGGGAATGTCCTCCCCCACAAGTTAGCAAGGGGTGAACCTCAGACAGCATGGAACAGAAGAGAAAAGTGTGGTTCAGAGAGGAGCAGTGAGAACTTAAAAACAGTTCAGAAGGAGACAGGAGCTGAAATGGGTGAAACAGATCTGGCTGACTGCCAGTGGAGCTCCGAGCAGCAGCTGCCTCTAGACGGGTCTTGTTATCTCTCAAGGGTAAGCGCGGCCTCCACAAGATTCCCTAATCCTGTCAAGAGAAGTACAACTGCCTGTCAAGACTAAAGCACTTCCTGGAGCATCAGGATGCAAGCCTGCAGCATGCTGGTTAGTTTCTTCAAGGAACTGCAACATACTTGGCAAAAAACCTTAGCTACAATTCTGCTTATACTACCTGTTCTTCTCAACACAACCATAAATAACAGCTCCGCCAGCACCCTCTAGGAGACAGCAGAGGGAACAAGCAGAACACTGGCCATGAGGTAGGTGCTCCTCCCACTGCTTTCCTAGGGAAGAGGTGGTCTTGGAGGAGGTATTTCTACTATAAGTGCAAGAGATTAAATAAAGTGTCTGGATCCTTCAGAAAGATGGATCTCTGCGATACAATTTGTGTTTCTAAAAAAGTTAAGAAACCAGGATCTGTGCTGAGGTTCTCTGAGCTGCTCCTTTCCACTCTGAGGTCACAAGTGGCCTGGAATTGTGGATGTCATCATGAATGGGATAGCCTAACCTCAGGTGGGAAATTAGTAGCCAGCGACTCCGAAATATTTAAGGCTGGCTTCCACTTTTACTTCAACTGCACATGGCTTATGAGTAACTCCCATGAGAATGCTCCATTACTGGAAGCTAGACAGTAGTATGTAAACTGAACAAATTTGGTGCAGGGCGCTGTCTGGAAACCTGATGCATCAGGCATATTACAGCCATGTAAGCCTTGTGCCTCTTTCAGCTGGCTATGCCTTCATTCAAAAGGTTATTAAAACTATGACATATCAGAAGCACCCCGAGATCTGTGACAACTTAGACGATACACAAATGAATGGGAGGAGCCTGCAGCACAGAGCATCTTAGTGTGCTTAACTTAGTAATTTTTGTCCAAAAAATTCAGTAGTTTCTAAATCAAGCACTTTGGAGGGTTTAATACCAAGCCACTCTGCAATGTTCACATGTTGCTAAGAATGGGAGAAAGACCTTCCTTCCTGGTAACTTTTCACCAAATGAGTTATACTCCCACGTAATTAAAGTGTTTCTTCCCACCCCACCCTTCAAGCCAGCTAGGAGCTTAGCCTTGGGCAGCACTATTTTTTGAAAACTCATTAGCAAGCCTTTGGAATGACAGTTATAATTAGCCATTTTAAAGGTAACCTGGGAGGGACTGAAGTTATCCAGGCAACAGTGGAGCAGGAGAAGCTACCTGCACAGTTGTTGGAAGCCTTTCAGGTGGGACAGGTGTTCGAGGCTGGGTTCTTCTGGTCCTTGGCCTGTTTACCACACAGTTGTGCTCCTCACTGAGCACAGACCAGACTGTTCCCTTCCCCCACAACCTGCCATGCTATTTCCACAGCCACCCCTGCCAAACACAGCATGTCTACTAAAATAAATGGTTGGGAAGAAGTTATAAAATTGTTTATTAAATAAGGTAAAATTTTTCCTTGGCACTTTTTTCTTTTTAAAAAAAGAGAAACCTGGCTTCCAGCTTGGGGAAGACCAAGAGTTATTAGATTTGGATAAGGAAGGGGAGAAGGGACAGCACCTATGACACGCTGTTTCACATTCTAGGCAGTCTCCTTCTCCTCTATTCCTCTCTCCTCCATCGGGATGGGTCAAGCCTGACCTAACCCTGCCAGATTCACCTTACAGTGTCTTTTGTTTGGAAAAAAGAAACAGCTGCCAACGCCTGGTCACCTGGAGGAGCTGCGTTCTTTGCTCACACAGTCATCTTGAGAGGTCGTGTCACCATTACCCATCATGCTGCAGGTTCTTCTCTTTTTCCTCCGATGCATCATCCCCTCTGTCTCAGACCCAGAATCACACTAAGCATGGAGAAAAACCAAACAGAAGAGTAAGCCAAAGGCACAGAAGTCCACCATTTCTTTGGTTATTAAAACAGCAGAGCTTACACAGATCCCATCTGTGATGGTACAGTTGCCATGAGGCTTGAGGGGAAAACAGGTGCTATTTTAGCATAATTAGACAAGAGATCAAAAATTAGGAGCTATGACCCCTTGGTTGATTCCCAAAGCTAACTGCTGACCTGTGGTCAAAAACAGACCAAGATTTTTAGATGCCCAGCTGGTCACGTAATGACTACCCATTTCCAGAGAGTGGGTGTCCAGCACTTCCTGAAGAGTCATTTTAAAAAAGTGTTTTACGCTGCGCACCTACAAGTTAGTCAGTTTTAAAAATCTTGGATTCACTTTCTGCCATGGTAGGAGGACAGGCAGAGAAGAGAGATCAGAGTAAACAGCTTCACTTTAGAACTAGGAGTGGGCACCCTCCACACAAGGTAGAAACCGAGACCATTTTCCATAGTTCAGGACTGAACTTTGGAGCCTAAAGTTTCACTTACATTAATGATACCACCTTACAAAGAATGGTAAAATTCAGGGGTTTTATGCACGCAACTTCTACAACTCCAATAAGCTGCCGAGAAGTATAATATAGTCACAGAACAAGAGTTGTGCGCTGTGGCAAATCCTTACCTCTGAATCGGAGTCTGAGGAGCTGGAGCTAGAGGAACTGGAAGAATCACTGGAGCTATCAGAAGCGATACCTGTAGATTCTTGTAGGTCAACTGAATCAGCTAACACTGCCAGCTCAGGATGCTCTTGCTTTAGAATCCTACGCAAAGCCAAGCTTCATGATTAGCATTTCCGTATCACCTCTAAATGAAAATCAATGTCTGTGCTTTTATCAGTGCAGACTGGTTGTAAGTTACAATTGAAGTAGGAACAGGGAGACAGAATCATCTGGTATTGTGGAACCCTCCCGAGACGGGACCCAAGCTGTAGCTACGGGAGTATTTAGACAGGCTCCAGAAATATTTTCTGTGAGTATTATTGACATTAAAGAGCTGTAAATGCTTAAGTCTTCTTTAAGAGAACAAATTATTCATTAAAGTAAACTGTGTTTCTCTTCAGGAGCTATTGTGCTTCTGGATACCATGACAACTGAGAAGCATGTCCTTAAAACCAGATACTAGATATGTGCACTGGATAGCTTTAGGCATCAGTCATGACATAATTAGCCTGGCACTTATGGAAAGGGTATCTGAACAGATTCAGATTAACAGCAACCTAGATATTGCCACCTGATGGCTGTTTAGCAATCTAAGTGAAATAGGTTGGTTGTCAGCACGTCCCATTACAGCAGTGTCTCTAGCTAGTCATGATTGCACCCTTGTTGGCAGCCTCTGGAAAGAGATCAAGGGCATAACAGGGACAAAGAACAAGGCACATTCATTGTTGTGCCTACAGATAAGGGTTGGTAGGAACACCCTCTCCATGCGGAAGGCCTGCCAGCACCTTTCACCAGTAGTAATTGCCCTCTGAACATTTGGAGGATGAGTTAGATAAAAATGCAGAGGCAGTGAGCTCTCTTCAAGCAAGCCATTTCAATATGGTTCATAAAATTCTCAGACTGCACTCTTGGAGTTCATGCATTGCTTGACTTCAAGTTAGCCAGACAAGATTGTAGGAACCACAGAAAAGTAGGGCTCAAAGGGACCTCCCAAGATCATCTAATCTAGATCTGAAACCATACATTGTATACTTTTCCAGGAAGCAAGACTTAGCCACCAACTTAACTTAGTGCCCTTTGCAATGAAATGCTACTGTAAAAGTGGGACAGAGTTTAGAAAACATGGATTTAAAAATGACAGCACATTTTCCTCAAGACCATCTTAAAGTGGGTATGTTTTTTCTAGTCATCCCAACTCCAGTCATCCCTTTCACAGGGAGGAAGGTGGATATAAGAACAGGAAATTCCTGCAGCCCTTACCTGTACCATTTCCTTGAGAGTTTGGGCCTGCCTCTTACTGTCTTGTGCCATACTACAGGGAAATTGGTACAGCTGGCAAAGTTCTGTGTGATGGCAATGGTTGTGTCGAGATTGAGAACTACATGCCACCAGCCACCTACAAATGCAAATCAAGAGATCACCTTCAGCTAGGAAATTTGAAAAAGCAATTAAAAAAGGCAGCATAAAGTACGTAGATGGTCCAACCTCTCCTCACTCTCATTACGGTAGCATCAGATATTTTTATACTTCGGGATGTATAACAGTACTATTCCCCCCCTTTCATGGAGGGCAACGGAGGCACAAAGAAGCAAGGAATCTACGCAAGGCTACAGGAAGACTGTGTCAGGGAGGGGAACTCAGCCAAGCTCTGGGCCTGGACAAATGGATGCAGATTGTGGCATAATTTCAATCAGTTGCATATAGGAATATAAACTGCACTAGGATCAGGAACAGACATACATGCAGCTATCCCAGGGTATTCACATGCAGTACTAACCTACAACTGCCTTCAGCAAAAGATTTCCCCAGGGGTGATGCAGACAGACAGCACCTACCCCTGTTGTTTGTAGAGTTGTAAACCAAGTCTGAGGTAGTTCTCTGACAGTTATCCCGGGTTAATGGATTTACATCAGCTATCTGCATCCCCCAGTCAATGTAAACATGTTTTCTGTCTGTGCCCCATCTCCCAAGTCTCAAACTAATGTTCTTAACTTCCTTCTCTCCCAAATACAGAACCAACAGACTCCTTTTAAGAAGTCATATGTTCCCATAAAGAATGTTTTTTAAGTCTCTGCCCCAAGCACTTGACCCACCAAGCGTTAAGTTTCCTAAACCTAACAGACCAAGCAGTCTTCTGTACACTGCTGGGCCTTTTTGCTAGGTCTTATTCCAAAATGTCTACCTACCCTTCCCCTGCCCATACACAAACTACTGTAACAGAAGATTGCACCTCTCTTTACCTCAGTGCAAAAGTCTGCTGTTAAGTGACAGACCTTTCCAGTTCACAAAGACTCCCAATGAAGATGTAATTTGACAGTGACATTTCTGAACCTATGGCTGCTAGCAGCTCACTTAACAGGAAGCGCCACTATGACCCAGATCCTGCTATCAGATTGTAGGTCAGTTTTCATCCTTGTTTAGCAAGTTTTTACAATCATATTTTAAACATTGTTATGTTATGATCTAGCTGAAAACCCACTAAAATAAATATTCTCCAACTATTTGGGTTGGTCTAATAAAAGATATCAAATTCACCCAAGGAACCCTGTCTGACTAAAATACCACACACATACAGAATAAAATTAGGCTTTATAATTAAAACAACAAACCCCCCAAACAAACTGATGGCTACAGAGCCTTCCTAATCAAAGATGCACTGCAGAGTACCACAACAATCACAAGATACTTTTCAAGCACGAAGCTACTCCAGATTTTTGGCAGAGAAACAAACAAGTATAAAAGAAGGAGACAGACAACTTGTTGTGTGATGCTGGGCAAGTCATGGCTAAATCTGACACTACAATTCAGCAGCCAAAAACTCTCCTGCTCTGTTAACCATGTTCCCCTGCTAATCACAGGGCTGTATGCTCACATCCCATACCACAAAGTGAAAGTGCCCTACTAGAGAGGCCTTTTTTAATTTCTACTCCTAATTTTGCTTTTAATGGTCAAAGTCATGGAAATAAGAAAGCAGCTGGTATCTGTCAGCACCTTTTCATTGTTCTTTCCTCACAGCTGTGACAGCTGAAGTCTTTTAATCTGTTACACTGTTTGTAAGCTCAAGAATACATTTTAATAACGAGCCTCGAAGGCCTCAATTTTTTCTGTACCTTTGATTCCTTCCTAACTGTATAATTTAGTTCAGGATCATGTTCCCGAGCAAAGAGTACGCCCTCTTGTGTTCTGCTTGTTCAGAACATGGTGCTCCTGACCTACTACAGGGTATTTGTGACTTTGAAATAATTTTTTTTGCTCTTTGAATATTCAAAGGCAGCCCAGGGCGTGCAGTTCTTCCAAGTGTCCTAGAATAGGCACCCATCTGTTCTAGAGAATGTGGGCCATGAAAACATCCCACTGTCAGGCAGGAGACATCTGAAAACACACTCTCCTACCAACCTCAAATTTTATTATAGAATCACCCATACCTGGCACAAAGACAGTCTCGCCAGATTTCTGTAAGATTTCCAGGGGCTTGAATTCAGGGGGCCAGGTGGGGAGCTGTGTCCTAGGATAAATGATGTTGAACCAAGTGATCGCCTCGTCCTGCTGGTTCCCTCCTTCCTCTCGTGTCACTTTGATCAGCTCTCTGGGCGTGCTGGTAGGAAAGAGACACCAGCGCTTGTGTCCCTGGACCAAGGCATTCCAGGCACTAGTTCCCAAGGGGTCAATATGAATTCCTGTTCCTGATCTAGGAGGGCCCATCACAAACCACCTACACAAGGGAGGGGAAAAGAGAGAGGTTAGTCACATCCCAGAGATGTAGCTACATTCCTGCATCTACTTTCCTTGTATTTTTAAGACCTTGAAATTAACATGGCTTTTTCAGTAATGCTTCTTTGTTTTGGAACCCAAAGAGAACAATGTAACAGTGACTGCAGGAGATCATTAGGTTTGTGCTACCGCAAAAGACACATTATATTGTTTTGCCTTCAGATCAAAAGGAATCATCGCAACTGCCTTTATAATTTCTTGATAGGAAAAAATTGAAAAAGACAACTATAAAACATATAGATGATTCCTCATTAGGACCCAGCTATTTGAAGGGTCTGAACTCCTTGGTATTTAAGGATGTTCATTATTAGGCCCATACGCTTGTCACAGCAGGAGACCAGAGTCACTGAACCAGGAAGTCCCTTCCAGTCCCAGCTGTTCTAAGCTCTCTTTGCTACTCAAACAGCATTTCTAGATCATGAGATCCTAGACTGCAGCTTTTGTTCCAGTAGGAAAGAATATTTGAGGATCCTCAGTAAAGATGCAGAATGATGTTATATAGCTCCCATCTGCCCTGCTCTCTCCTCATGCTTTTTATATATCGTATCATTTACCTGGTTGCAGTCTATTTTCCAGTAGTCTCTGCCAAGATTTGGTAAGTATATTCTCATTCCTATGAGCAAGACGTATTTCTCTCTGTGCAGAGAACTGCATCTGTTTTACAGACTTAAGGGTAACTGCATCCTTCCTAGTCTCAAATTACTCTGGGGCAGAATGATAATATAGGTTGTCACATTAGCTTCTGATAACTTTAGCTGGGTTAACTGCTACTAGATGCTCTCCAGGAAAAAAAAAAAAGCCAATGTTTCTACTTCCACCTGTCTTCTAGACAAAGGAGGGGTTAAGGGGTAAAGCACAGGAAGTAGAAAATAGAAAGTCCCCTTCCAGCAACACCATAAATGCCCTTCAATATGAGGAGCACCCAGCAGGAGTTCAAAGAATGGAGGAAGTCAGCACAGTTGGTAAGTGTAGATTGCCAGTGTTGGACATGCCACCCAAGAATTGAGAGTCAAGCTGCATTCATTCTACCCTGTAAATCAGCTGCAAGAGAAAGAGAGCAGTAGGATCATAGTTCTCTTGATGCCAAAGCCAATGCTGAATTCAGGCCCTTATATAGAACAACTTGAGCTCTGCAAGGCCACACGAGTCAGTAGCAGAGTGAGAGTTCTCTGCTAAAACAGATACATGAAGCATCTTCAAGCAGCAGAGCTTAAGACATACAATGCAACTGTCAATGCCATTTTTCTGTCTATACCTGGATTTTTTTTTACAGGCTGACACGCTGGCAGCTTCACCCTGCCAATGTGCATTCACCTATCCCTGCCTCAAGGTTTACAACTAAACAAACATGAACAGGTTGGCTACAATTATTCATAGCTTGGGCGGTGCTACCCATAGTTCTAAAGTGCCATTCTTTTATGGTGGATTATAAAATATTTCACCAGGCTGGGCAAAGTTACTGTATTTATACTTCATCACCCAGTGTTCACAACTGAAATTAATACATTTTATATTTGCTTCAAAAAGGTTAAAAGCCAGGCTTAAAAAAACTGAAACTCTCCTTAAAAGCCTCTGTACAACTTTATACAGAATGTCAATGCTTAACTTTGGTGCCTGCATCCCTACTTCAACAGGAAGCTGAGCTGTCACGATGGTACTTTTAGTTAATTTTACTCAAAAGGTTACTAAATATTTTTAATCTATTTTTCTAAATGGATGTAGCATTTAAAGATTAAGTACACTGGAACACTACTGAGGAAAAAGTACTTTTCAGAGTTTTATAAAGTTGTGGGAAAGCTCCAGCTTCCAATATCCCAAATAAGGAGATTAGCATATGGAAAACCAATTGGGGTGGCTGGGATGTTATTGGCTCAGGATAATTACAATGAAGTTATTTAGTTTACCTAAAGACCTGGTTAAGTTTGCATAAATACACAGTTATCATAACCAATCCTTATCAGTTTCTATGTAACGTAGTACCAGGTATGATTGTGGTACTAGGAGCAGCGCCCTTCCTCAGAAGTTGTATTTGATGACAAGAATAATCTCAGCATTTGCTAACATCTACAAAACTGGCGTCTAAACAGGTCAGTTTCCAGCGTCTGAAAGAAACAGTGCAGTAAGACTCCAAGTAGGCCGCACATGAAACTTAGCACCCTGGTACCTTCCTGCTCCATTTACTTAGTTATTTATTATCACTTACTCCATTATACCTCAGGAGAAAAATCAAGTTCTCACATGATCAAGGCTTTAGTTTCAGATCAGTGGAAGACTCGACAACTCAGCAAATGCCATGCGACTCTCCTCACAGTGGCTCTGGATGAGGCTGTATTGCTCATGATGTGCATGAGCAATACAGCCTCACAGGCTGTATAATACAGGTGACAGCAGCAAAGGACAGACTTTTTTGTTAAATAGACAGGCAGGCGCATCTCTCAAGTGGTAGGGCACCCAGGCAAGCAGTGTGGCTGTAAGAGGACAATTACCTGGGAGTACCCAACTACCATTAACATTTGAGTTCGTTCTGATCATATGCCAACATAGAAAAAAATGGTAGCGTTCAAGTGATGTTGTAGCCGTGACGGTCTAAGAAACATGCAAAAGGCAAGTGTGTTTGTGGGCAACATCTTATATTGGACCAACTGCATGGTTGGGACAGACTTAGATAACCTTTTTAATATAATTCGCTGCAAGTTCAGTCCTAACAAAAGAAGAGGGGATTCGATCTTTTTGGGTTCCCCGTTTCACACAAGCTCTTCTCTCATCTACACTAGACTTTTTACTTTAAACGAATTGCTGAGCGACTCAAATGAGTTGTGTGTTTGCTAGAGGTCACTAACATGAGGTGTCCAGCCCAGCCTTCAAAAATGCAGTAACTACCCTATTTTTACTTATTAAAGAAAAAAGAAAGACGGACTATAGATAGCCAATTGAGTTAAGAATGTAATGCCCTAAGACATAAGCCCTTAGGATGTAGCTTGCACACACGTGCAAACTTTCCTCAACGGCCTAACGATTACAAACAACCTCAGTGACTCCAAGGCTCCGCATTGTCACCTTACGGACATTACCAATATTCATCGCTAGTGCAAAAAATGGCAAAGCAGACACTATGAGCACTTTAAGGGAGAATATGAAGCAGCGAGCGTTGTCTTATCTAACATCGCGTAACAAAAGCCTGGATCCAAGGTGGCAACCGAACCTGGGAATTTTTAACAGTTTTGTCTTTCCTCCTCTCAAGGCCAGGGCTGCAGGTTAATCTTAAAATATTAGAAGACTTGTCAAGTTACACAGAAATTAAAACATCTGGAGCCGCTCACGGGTCGGACGTCTCCGCCCAGCTCGCGCCGCGGTACCGTACCTGTAAGGCGGCCTGCGTTTCTCTCCCGCGTACTTGAACAGGTCGTCAGTGAAGAATTTGGGCACGTTGTAGTCCTCCAGCAGTTTCCTGCGCTTGGGGTGCTCGCCGTAACTGCTGTCGAAGATGTAGAGGGGGCTGTCGTCACGCGTGGTCTCCATGTACTCGATGTAATACTTCATCTTCATCTTCACGGAGTAGCCGTCGTTGTCCTCTCCGCACTTGAACTTCTGGTTGCGGTACTTGCGCTTCAGGCGCTCCAGCGTCCACTTCTCCTGGGCGGACCAGCCCGCCTGCGCGTTCAGCAGCACCACGGGCTTGTAGGGCTTCTCATAGCGCTCCACGAACTCCTCCGCCGACAGCTGGAGCGCGTCCGCCCGCTCCACATTGTCCTGCGCGAGCGGGAAGCGGGGTTTAAAAACGCGCGTGACCAGGGGCCCGCATCTCCCGGGGCCGGCACCAGCCCCGCGTGGGGTTGTGTTTCCACCTACACTCAAAGCTCCCCCGGGGAAACGCCAGACCGCAAGAAGGGTCCTGGAGACAGTGTTTCTCTGGGAGGGAAGCAGCGCGGCCGACACGGCTCCACCCCCGCGGCCCCCTGCTCAGCCCCGCGCCCCCCGCGCCGCGCCCCCGCCGGTACCTTGCATCATGCTCGGGCCCCGCCGCCGCCGCCGCTTCGAGAAATTTCACCCCCGCCGCTGCCCCGGCCTTCGCCCGCCCCGCGGGCGCGCTGCCGCCACCCCATTGGTCCTCTCCGCTCCCTCCGTCACATCCGCACCGCGCGGATTGGCCACCGCGACGTGGCGGACTGGCCGCCATCTTGAGAAGGGCACTTGAGGGGAAGGGGCGGGGCCTGGGTGCCCTTCCTCCCGCACGTGCCCAGGGTTGGGGGCATTTGTGCGCACGTCCCTCGGCTGTACCCAGGGGAACTGTTAAAGTCTCCTCTCCCGTGCCTGATGAAGGGTGTTTGTGCCCGAAAGCTTGCAATTAAAGAACTTTTTTTTGTGTGCAAAAATCTTGTTGGTCTCATAAAAGATACTAGGAGTCCCGATTGCCTTTTCCTCTAGAGCAGGGGTGGGCAAAATGTGGCCCATGGGCTGGATGCGGCCCGCCCGGCCATTCTATCCAGCCTGCGGGGCCTCCCCAAAATTTAGAAAATTAATATTAATCTGTTCTGGGCTGCCTGTCATGCGGCCCCCGATGGCTTGCCAAAACTCAGTAAGCGGCCCTCTGCCCAAAATAATTGTCCGCCCCTGCTCTAGATCAACCTAGATCCAGGTTAGGCTACAACCTGGATACCTGACCTATCTATGCCTCCTGGGATTCACCCACACTTGTAATCCCTCCTTTTATTTCCACCGGCTCCCCAACACAGCCTCCATTTGCCACATGCAGATAACTAGGAAATTGCCACCAAAAAAATCCTTTTTGCAAAAAAAACCCCCCAAAACAAAGGAAGGCAGTGTGATGTAGCAGGGGAAGGGCCCTGCCAGTAGGGCTGTGCAAAATTTCGCCGTCCATTTCGTTTCGACACTTCTGACTCATTTTGAGGTCAAAACAGCCCAATCGAAACGAAACAAAAGCTCTCGAAACAACCTTGAAACAAAAGGAGGCTAGTTGAAATGTTTCAAAAGTTGAAATGTTTGACCATAGCACTGGGGATGGGAAGTCAGTCCAGCTGGGCTGACTCCCCGTCCTCGGATGATCTAGCGAAATGTCAAAACAAATTCGAAACAGCCTCGCTGTTTTGACAAAGCAAAATGGAACAGCTGTTTCGAATCAAAATGAAATTCAATATGAAACGTTGTTCCGTTGAAACCTTGAAACTCAAGACGAAATGGAACAGTGCCATTTCGCACAGTCCTACCTGCCAGGTCCTCTCATCCCAACAGGCCAGATATGAACCCGAAGGCTGCCCCCGATTCCATGTTGTCCTAACCCCGTAGAGCAGGGAGTCGCAGTCACGCCCTGGGGTGCCTGGAGAGCCTTTCAAGGAGGATGTGGGGTGCCATGCAATGTTAGGGTTACAAATAATCAGAGATTTCACATAGAAATCCATAATTGGGTGAGTTCTTTGCAACAGAAAAACTGTTTATTTCCATAGCCAAGAAATGAGGGAAGACCAGGGATCCTAGTTTTCTCGGATTTAAAAAAATCCCCAATTTTCAGCTTAAAAAAGTAACCCCAAATCCACATATTTCTGTGATTAAAATATCACTATATATACACACACACACACACACACACACACATATAATAGGTGTTTCCTTTTACAATATTAATATGTTTAATATATTAAACATATATTAATATATGTTAGTGGTGTTTCATTTTAATCCTGGAAAAAATGTGGATTTGGGGTTACTTTTTTAAGCTGAAAATTGGGGATTTTTTTAAATCCGAGAAAACCAGGATCCCTGGTGAAGACTAAGAGCTGGCATTTTCTGAGGGGAGCCTCAAGTCTACAAAGGTTGAGAGTCACTGCAGCGGAGTAACATTTCTTTGCACAAAACACCCACATGCTGGATTTGGGAATTGAAGGCATTTAATCCCGCAATTCCCAAGCAGGGTGCCAGACAAGATAAAGGCAGAGATTTCAAGTGGGAATCCGTCATGTCAAAAATATTCTGACCAGTTGTGGATTTTCGGAGTTCTCTGCAATAGAAGAATTGCTCGATTATTTTCCTGTAGTCAAGAAATGAGTGAAAAACGACAACCCAGCCTTTTCTGAGGCCTGCCTCTGGTTTTAAAAGGTTGCGAATGACTGTTTTAGTGGAATGGGAAGAGGGAAGTCACTGCAGATCCTGAGGGACGAGGCTAAGAGCTGGAGGCTCCGGGCAGGAGCTTGAGAGATTAAATCCTTTTATGGGAAAATCAATTCAAAGATAATTGTGGGCCACATGATAACGAAAATTTTGGTCTGCTAAATTTGCCACTGAAGGCAGCACAAATTTAAACCCTTTTATAGGAAAATACATTCAAAGCCAATTGTGGGCCACACAATAACAAAAAATTTGGTCTGCCAAGGTTGCCACTCAAGGCAGCACGAGTTTAAATGACAAAAAGAACAGGCCACCTTTCATCTCCTGTAGTTTCACTGCATCGGTTCTCCAATATCCCATGTTATAATACCTAGATCTACAGGTAAGAAAACCGTCTACCTCTCCTTTACTACTCAAGGAAGGGAGCGTGGCCATGAACCCTCAAGTCTGAGACCAGACTGTGCAGCCCGCTCCGGTCCAGCGGCAGGGACCAGAAAGCCTCTGCTACACCCGCCGTGGATCATGCAGTCCGCTGGCCCATCCTGCAGTCAGTGTAGACGGGCCAGGCATGCAGAGCAATGGTCACTCACGCACTTCACTGCCAGGCCTGCCACACACGGACACAGCCCCCCGCGTGCACAGCCATGATCCCCTGGGAAAACGCCCGGGCAGCGCTAACAAGAGCCCGGCAGCTCCCAAGTTAGTGCTTGAAAACGTGCGGGACTCTGGAGCCGGTTTCAAGCTGGCTCGGGCTGCAGCGCGGCAGGGCCCCTACAAGAGCCTGATCCTGCGGCTGCGCTCTGGGGAAGGTGACTCGGATTGCCCCCGGGCCGGGCCCAGCTCCGCGAGCGAGGGGCGGCGCCTCCACTGCCTTCCGCCGGCGCGGCGCGGCGCTGACGGGCTCCATGTGGGAGCCGGGGCCGGGGCCGGGGGCGGGGGCGCCGGAATTCAGCTTCGGAGCGGGGGAGACCTGCGGGCGTGAGAGAGATCTCCGCGGGGGGGGATGTAGGATCTGCAGGGGGGGGTGTGTGTGATCTCCAGGTAATGGGTGTGGTGGGGAGGAGGGATGTACGATCTCCGTGTGTGTGTGTGTGTGTGTGTGTGTGTGTGTGTGTGTGTGTGAGAGAGATCTCCAGGTATTAGGGGATGTGTGTGTGTGTGAGCGGGAGTGTATGATCTCCAGGCATTAGTGTGCATGCACATTTTTTACTGTGCTGGATGGCAAAAGATGAAAGGAAAACCCAGTTATGCTGAAACAGTTCAAAGGAGCGCTTTTATTTTTTGAATCTCCACCTCTCCATACCTTACATTGTGAATAACTACTTTGCACCTGAGGCTTACCTTACATTTCAGGCCAGTGTAAAAATTGGACTAGGTTGAAAACATTTCAAACCAGGCAAAAATAAATAAGTAAATAAGTAAATAAAAGCCTATCCAAAGGCATTCAAGAAACGAAAAGGAACTGTGTAATTGCTCCCATTCTTAAAAGCTGTGCAGCTGAGCTGCCTTTTTTATAATGATGAGAAGTGTATTAGGTCCTATCTCTGCAGCTAATGGAGTTAACAGTAACTGTTTAGTTAGAATCCCAAGTTGGTTTCTCATGTAGGACTGCTCTAAATCAGTGCCATAAATATTTTTAAAAAATGCCGTGCAGTCCATGATACACAATTGTTAAACTTATTTGTGTGTGTAAGCAGGACAGGGTTGTCCTTTACCTTTATGAAAACACAGCAATTGCTACCTGTGGTATCTATGATTGTATATTACTGAACCACCATATAAAGGCAAAAACTGACTAATGGGGTTTATCCTAGTCGTGACTGGAGAGGATAGCTCTTGAGGAAATGAGATGAAATCAAAAAAGTCAGCCCAAGCTGAATTTCAGAATCAAATCTTGACAGCAAAGTTCTTGTGGGTTGAGTCCTATAGTTCCGTAAGCTTATTTGAGGGAATCTGGAGCATTATTAAATAAAGGCTGGAATACCCCAGTGCTCTAGCAGGTGTAACAGGAACGATCTTTAATAAATTAGTAGGGAAGCTCTAGCTAAAAGGCAAGCAATTTTTTCCCCTAATTGTCGGGCTGTACATTTATTTGCATGTTAGCAGAAAATTAATTGAAGTAACTCAGGATCAAATTTGAAATGAGCAAAAAAACTTAAGTCTGGTCTAGAATAAAAGGTATAAATATAACATTTTTGTTTTCCTTTCAAAATATTCTGTAGTGCTGCTGAAATTTATTAGAAAGAGCTTATTGTTTCAGGTCCTGGATTCCCAGTATGGCATGTATGTTTGGCCGTGTGCCGTGGTCCTTGCTCAGTACCTGTGGTTTCACAGAAGAAAGCTACCTGGCAAGAGAGTTTTGGAGGTAAAAATTGTTCTTTTATAAATCATGCAATATTTTTTTAAAAACAAAGAATAACAGAATCAACATTACTCTTTGAATATCTACTAGTTTTAAAATTGTGAGTTCTTTTTCAATTAAAATGAAAGTTGTATAGGGCATAATTTTTTTGTTTCCTCTCAGTGTTTATAGAAGTCTTGATTTAGTATCATCGTTGTTTATTTTTTCTTTTCAATTCTGTTCATGTTGCCCCAGCCAGTCTAATTTTGGATCCAACTTACATCAGAAACTTAATGCTGTGGTAAATGCTCTGATGGCATTGGAGGTTTATTAACCAGCTTACAAATTCTTTGCATGGGGTGGTAGTGACACCCTAATTCATCTATAAATTTTGCAGTTAGGTATTGATGGGGTACTTTGCCCTAAATATGGCCTTCATGTTAAGGTCCATCAATTCGGTAACTAAGATGTCTGTAAATGTGGACTGTCTAGTTCACCCTAGTATCTGCCAAATAGAAATTGATAATAGATTCATATTACTGACTATCAGGGATCCAGGTTTTCCATTTCCCATGGGGAAAATGGAGAAAAACCATGGATTTCTCCTCTTTACCAGAAGAAAACATGGATTTCTCATTTTACTGGAGAAATCCATGGATTTTGTAGTTTTGCAGAGCTTTCTGCAGGATGCAGAGTTCCAGTCTGCAAGGGGCTGCCGGGAGGGCAGTCTGGCAGGGGATGCCATGTTCATGTATATGCACATGGATGCCAGGTAGCCTGGAGCAGCTCCCACAGGTAAGTGGGGAGAGTGGGAATTGAGACCCCCATGGTGAGGTGGGGAGTTGGGCAGGGCTGGGGTTGCTGCCCAGCCAGGCAGCACATAGGGCTTAGGACTCACAATGTGCAGCCACAGAGCCCTGGCAGGGAGCAGGATGGGGTCACAGGTAGCTTATCCAGGGAACAGGGGCAGCTCCCCACCATTCTGCATACTCCCAGGGAGAAGGGGTAAAAATCTACTTTAGAGATAACCTAAGTGAATTTGAAGAACTGCTGCAATATTAACAGCTTAAGATGCAAGACTCATCCATCCTTCACTGTTTAGATTGGAGCCGGTGTGAGTTTACCTGGTATAGTAGCAGCTAAATGTGGTGCAGAAGTAATACTATCAGATAGCGAAGAACTACCTCAGTGCTTGGAAAACTGTTGGCAAAGCTGTCGTATGAATAACCTTCATGGGGTACGTGTTCTAGGACTCACCTGGGGACAGATTTCTCCAAATCTGCTCTTTTTGCCTCCAGTAGACATTATTCTGGGATCCGATGTGTTTTTTGAACCAGAAGGTAAGTCCTCGTAAATAAAATGCCTAAAACTTTTAGGAAGGCAGAGTAAAACTATGAAATAAGTGTTCGAAATAAAAGTGTTGAAAACCATGTTAGGGAGGTTATTGAGGACAACTATGAGGACTGCAAGGAACTGTTGAGCCATAAATGTTGACATCACAAGTAGTATTTCTGGGTGTTGAGTTGTTTCTAGGGGAGAGGAAGGTCTGACAGGACAGCTCTAATGTTCAGCTATAAAAACATACTGGAAAGTATTAAGGGAGAGTAGTATGCTACTGAAAGTTCAGTTATACAAAACCAGCCTGGTTCATAAGTCTAACTTTTAGATGTTGTTGGTTCTTTATGGCTTCTATTTGTGCTCCAAACATAATTTCCTTAAGATCAAACTTTGTAACACGCTGAAATAAATTCAGTATTGTTAACCTGACCAGGCATAAATATAACATGCGTAGGAGAACCAGGACAAGCTAAAATTTTAATCTCCACAAATACCTTGATGCAGATTTTGAAGATGTTATAACTACAGTATACTACTTGATGGAACGGAATCCGTGTGCTCAGTTCTGGACAACCTATCAGGTCCGAAGGCGAGTA